GCAGCCCCTCTGGACTGGGGGTCCACCAGGGGACAGGGGGTTATGTACAGTGCAGTGGGGGTGTGCACAGCCCAGCATGTCCCTGGCCTGCCCCCCTGCCCAGCGCACACGACCCCAAAGAGTCACCAGTCAATACAGGGCCAGTATCTTTTATTCAAAGCTGAGCCCTGACCTGCCAGGTGGGCCCTGGGTGCTGCTGACCCCTGGGTGCAGGGCCAGGGTGCCTGGCGTGACCCCCGGCAGCCCCCAGGGGTTATGGGTCGTAGTGTGAAGGGAACAGGCCCCATGCCCCACTGGGGCAGGGACAGACAGACAAGGTGTTAGTGATCTGGGGGGCTAAAAGCACAGACAGGAGGGGGGCAGTGGCACCCCCCATTTTGGTCCAGGACTCTGCAGAATGTGTGGGGGGGACCATGTTGCACCCCCAGTTTTTAAGCCACGCCTGCAAATAAAAGGCAGGAGCTGGGGTCGGGCCAGCCCCCAGGGCTAAGAAGGAACGGCTGGAACAGCTCTCAGGTTAAAGGGGTGTGTTTGTGGGGAGGAGACGGGGAGCCCTGCAGAAGTGGGGCCCATGTCCCCTGCTAGCCTCCAAACCGGGGGGTAGCCACTGGGGGCAAGGACGGGTCTGGCTTTGGGGCCACCCTGCCTGGGGGAGGGGCTTCGACAGGACAGTCACGGGCCTCGGGCTGAGTCTGACGGATGGGCTATACCCTACGGGGTTAGGGGTAAAGCCCCCCCCCCCCCCCGGCTGTGGTAGCCATATCTCCCCACTGCTCCCAGGTCACGGCCACACGTGGGCAAGTCAGCCCCATTTCTCTGGCCCAGCCCAGAGAGTGACAGGCCCCCAGCTTCATGTGGTTATTCAGCTGAGCCAGTGGGGCTGGGGGACCCCGTGGGGCGGTCAAAGCGCTAGCCCGGCCGAGCCTGCTGGGGGGGGATTCAGGTGAAAATGGGATTTAGAGCCCTTAAATTTCACCAGCCTGGCCCGGGGGGTGCCAGCCACAGGGGAGCAGCTCTCAGCAGCTGAGGGGGCAGCACGGTCTCTACCCCACCTTTGCCCTAGACAGCGTGGGCCTGCCCCCGCGTCCCGCTGCGGGGCCATGAAATGGGGCGAGGGGGCGGCGGCTGGCCGAAGCCCCCTGTCCCAAATCCCAACAGAGGGTGCGAAGTGTGGCGGGCGAGGGGTGGGGCGGACGCCCACGGGGGGAGTCCAGGAGAGGGGCCCAGGCGCAGGCAGGAATGTCGCCCGGCCGCAGTGTTTACACGCAGCCGGCCAGAAGGCACCGGCAGCGGAGCCGGCTCAAGGCTGAGCCCCGGAGGGGGAAGGGTGGCCGGTTTGCTTCAGTGCTGGGCTCCCCCGCCCTGCTGGGAACCCAGGAGTCCTGGCTCCCACCCCCACTGCGCCTGCTCTGACCC